ATGTAAGTTGGGAACTAGAATGCAACTATTTTATTTGATAAATGTAAAAGTTGAGTCATATTGTAAACTGCTTTTCAGATAAACCAGGTAAGTTAAATATGTATATAACTTTCTGTTCTTGCACTTTGGGTTTTTTTAAGCAAGGTTTATAAGAAATCGTCTTTCAAAGAAGAAGTGAGGGAGAAACAAAGGGAAGGAGGTAGAGGGTTAATAGAGAGAGGGAAAGGAAGGCCATCTTTATAAAAGATTTTTGTTTAAGGATTTTCAAGGGAGTTTTTTTTAAGCCCCTTTAAGTATTGGTGCTAACATTTTTTAAAGGCGAGCACTTTTAAGTGACACCTTTCTCGTGATCATATTTGTCATCTGTCACAAACCACTGGCTGTTTGTTCATAGACAGGTTTCAGAAAGTCTCAGAATTGTGGCCATCGAGTCACTTGGTTGTTTATTCTTGTTCCAGAAGGAATCATGAAGTTCCACATCCAGAGATACTTAATAAATTGGGCAAAAATCTCAATATGAGAATTAGCTTTAGGCTTGAAAATTTAAAGTTGATTTTTTCTAGCAGGTCACTTTATTAATAAGTAAAATGCAATTACTTTACTCATTACGGATCTGAAGGAAAAACATTAAGACCAAGAAAGAAGATAATTACAATATAACTGAAGGCCATTTTCACAATTATTTTCAACCAACAAGGTCATAGTCACTTACAAATTCAATCCTGTGTATTCAGCTTCTCATTTGGAGCAGGAAAATGGGCAGTCATGGGAGAGGAGTCATGTGTAGAAGGCTCGCAGAATGGGGGACCCAGATCTATGTGATGAGGCAGGTTTTGTAGAACTGGGAAGAAGGGATATTGATGTCAGAGCCAGAAGAGAAATTTCTGGATGTTTTGATTTTCAGAAATGTTAGAACTGAGTAATAAAGAAAGAAGGATTTTTTTTTTTCGGAGATGTAAATGACATGGAAGTTAATTTCAGAAGCGTTGGAGAAGTCATATGAAATCTTTCAAAGACGTGAAACTGGAATGTGGGGTCTAAAGTTGAGGCTTGTCACCTATTTTTGAGGTTTGCACTCCCATTTGCTAGAAAATGCTATATTGAGATTTTGCCATAAGGGAAAAGAAGTTCTTTCTCTTTTACTTGAATCCCAACTGAAACATAGAAATATCCTGTATGTTCCTAACTCCTTCAAATGACCTAACATTGAAAGCATCCCTCTGTGAGAGGAAATCAAATAAGCATGCTGTTTTCAGATACACACAACCTTCTTAATACGTGGTACCTGCTTCAAGCCCAGGAGAGGGTTTTAGAATAAATAGGGTTTGTCCTCACTTTATTGCTCTGGCTCGATGAAGGCTGCAAGTTGCAAGTGTATGTCACAGGCAGAATAAGACAGCTGCAGCCAACAATAAGTAAGCACTGAGCCCACAGCTCCATTTGCTCAGTCTGAACCCTGTGGACTCAGATTTCCTTGCACTTGTCTTCTCATCAAGCAGAGGGGCTTCTTCATTTCCCAAGAGCATCCGCATCAGATGAGCTCTCACTGATCGCATCCAAATGTCAATGCTCCCTCCTCTGGGGAAATTCTGGTCACCTCTGTGGAGAGTATCTGTCACTACACACTCCCATCCCACCAGTTTTGCTAATCAGACTTCTTTGATGATGGCAGTCCAAGAGTGCTTCTGAGAGAGAACTGAAGTGTATTACCTTCTTCTGCACATGCACCCTTGATTCTCTTGCTGGGATCATGCTTTTGAAAGCTTTCCAGTCCACTCCAAACCGTAAGACCCTTGAGTTGCCCACATGTACTAAGCTTATGTGATTTCCAGTGGGGCCCACTTCCTACAATTCTGGTAAGAATTCTCTAGCCTGGGTTCTCTCAGGATCCACGACGGTCCCTGGCCCTTTGATCAATCCATTTGTATAGGAGCACTTTAGCTGTGTCCATTCTGTTTACCCAAACAGAGCAAAGTCCAAACCCACCAAGTGAATACGTGTGTGTCATGGGTGAGTAAGAAGCCCAGAATTTCGGTAGTCCTGAGATGAGATACCTACTGATACACCATCCATTTGCTGAGCTGCCTCATCTGCCTGGCCTCACCATCGAGTCTAGCCATGAGTGTTTCCAACACCCCATATCACTAAAACTCCTACCAATCAAAAGGGGCCAGGTATGCATCATTTATAAGAAGTGAAATGCCTCAATAAATTAAAGTGTTCAGGACTTCTCTCTTCCCCATATTATCTCATAGGTCTCTTTGGACTCTACAGTTGTGTGACTTTGGAGGTTTTGGATGAAGAGAAAATGGTAGAAGTAGATTGCAAAGATGAATAGGCGTCTGCTAATGACTACACAATATGCAAACTGTTGTGTAGTCATTAGCAGACGCCTATTCATCTATGATATTGATTCAGTAAATGTTTGTTGCTGATTCAACAAATATTTATTGAGCACCTACTAAGAGCCATGAAGAATGAAGTCTCCATGAGGGTAGTTGCTGTTCTACCCCCAACCAAACCAGAATAAGCCATCTCTGGGCTGATCTGGGGATGTGAGATCTAAAGGAAACTAGGCTGTATAAGACATTTAAAAATGTATATTCAGTGAGTATTCACTGTCTGCCCAATGTGTTCCCAGTACCAGGGCTTCAGAGAAGCAGAAGGGTGTGGGCCATGACTGTAGGGAACTTATACCTTAGTGGGATGGTAAACATGTGTACAAACATTTTACAATATATGTGGGAAGTGCTGTGTCTCTATAAATAAAGTCCAGCAGGCTCACAGAGGAAGAAGTACTTGACTTCTACGTTCCTGACTTTTGAGGTGACAGCATAAGGAAACATTCTTATTCTATAAAAACATAGCCATGGCCCGAGGTGTCATACCTGCCTGATATTCACAGCCCTCTCCTTTACTACTTAAGCCCTTGTGCCGCCCTCATTCTGAAGTCAGGAGGCACCGCCTGCACAGCGTACTGATCAGACTGATTTGTTAATAAAGAAAACCAAATTCGTTCTAGATTTTTATTTTCCCCCTCTTGTTGATGTCTGCATTTTTAAGCCCTTTTGTTCTTTTCTAAATTCTTTATTCCAGAAGTATGTTCATTTCTAGTCAGACTGCAAATAGAGAATGCACCAGGGACTGTCTGAAGCTGGAGCCTAATTATTTATCAAGTTGCCTTTCCTTAGTTTTCTATTTAGCTGGCGGGACTGTTTATAGATTTTTGGATGTGTTGATCATTTATGCTCATTTAGCCCTATTTACAAAAATCACACAAAACCACACGCCTTTTCCCGTTTACAATACTTTCATCTTAGTCCTTCTGAGTAGCACAAAAATAACATTCATCATAGTAATCAGTTATTTACTGAGTTCTGCCTGAGCAAGGGGGAATGCATTTGACCTGCATGACTTTGTCAGACCTTAGGAAATCCTTTGAGGCAAGTGCTAACAGCATCTCCTTTTACAGCCTTGAGAAGCTAATAGGCTGAAGATTACATAGTTAGTTAAAAAATTTAATCAAAGTATACCTAACAAGGAGATTCTAATAGATTGCATTTTGCATTATCATTTTAAAACTTGGTTTCATCATTATGAGTTTTGGGTGGTTCACATTAAAGGGAGAAATGCCACACAGGCGCAGAAGCAGGGTTTGACCGAGCCATTGTTCTACCTCGTGCCGTTACTATGCTTTTATAGAATAAGAATGTTTCCTTATGCTGTCACCTCAAAAGTCGGGAACATGGTGCCTCCATCAAGGAAGTCAAGTACTTCTTCCTCTGTGAGCCCGCTGGACTTTATTTATAGAGACATAGCACTTCCCACATATATTGTAAAATGTTTGTACACATGTTTATCATCCCACTAAGGTATAAGTTCCCTACAGTCATGGCCCACACCTTTCTGCTTCTCTGAAGCCCTGGTACTGGGAACACATTGGGCAGTGAATAGACACTGAATATAAATTTCAAAATGTCTTATACATCCTAGTTTCCCTTAGTAACTCACTATGTGTTCATAAATTCACTAAAGTTATCTTTGAAGTTTGTTTCCAACTTGTACCACCTCATAAGTTATCAAGAGGTGTATGTTTACTACCTGCTGGGTGAAAGAATGCTTTATTGTATTTGTTAGAAAAATATTCTTTTTTAAGTTTCCTGGAATTGAACCCTTGTACATTGTTGGTGGGAATGTAGGTTGGTATAGACATTATGGAAAACAGTATAGAGATTCCTCAAAAAATCAGAAATAGAACTGCCATGGGATCCAGCAATCCCACATCTGGTGTATGCCCAAAGGAAATGAAATCAGGATCTCAAAGACACCTCTGCACCCCCATGTTCACTGCAGCATTATTCACAATGGCCAAGCTGTGGAAGCAACCTAAGTGTCCATCGACAGATGAACGAATAAAGAAGTGTATATATACAATGTAATATTATTCAGCCTTACTAAGAAGGAGTTCTGTCACTCGTGACAACATTGATGAAACTGGAGGACATTGTGCTAAGTGAAATAAGCCAGACACAGAAAGACAAATACCACATGATCTCACTTATATGTGTGTGAAATCTTAAAAAAAAATCAAACTCATAGAAACAGTTTGGTAAGAGATTGGTGGTTACCAGGCATCGGTGGGTGGGGGAAATGGGGAGATGTTGGTCAAAGGGTACAAACTTGTAGTTATAAGTTCTGGAGACCTAATGTAGCACATGATGACTATAGTTAATGATAATGCATGATATGCTGGGCGCTTGGTAAGAGAGTAGACAGACCAGGTGCTCTCACCACACACGTACAAGTTAACTATGTGAGGAGATGGATGTGTTAATTTCCCTTACTGCAGTAATTTCACTATGCAAATGTATATCAAGACATGTTGTATATCTTATATGCAATTTTGTGAAAAAAAATTCATGGAGTTATAATGCAATAACATTTAAAAAGTGTCTTTCTTTTGTCCTATTGTTTTCTAATGATTCTATCACATTTTTCAGGAAGGTGATGTCTGGCCCAACTCATCAGCTGAAATCACCGTGTGCTTTAACCCACTAGAAGCCAAGCTCTATCAACAGACCATTTACTGTGACATTTCAGGTAGAGACCTCCGCCAAGTAGTAAACTCAGGTTACCAATTGCCCAGAGCATGAAGCGTGGTGCCTGAGTGTGTGTGTGTGCACGTGTGTGTGCGTATGCACGTGTTGCGTGTTGCATGTGCATGTGTGATGAAGCCATGGGCAGTGCACAATATCGATTAGGGGAATTATGGAGCCAAGCCATGCCCCTCTCACTTCTTTCTAGGATAGACTGAACTTTAAAGTGCTTTACAGTTGTGGCAGTATGTGGAGGAAATGGGAACTGTATTAGTCCATTTTCATACTGCTGAGAACTGCCTGAAACTGTGTAATTGATAAGGGAAAGAGATTTAATTGACTCACAATTCAGCATGGCCGGGGAGACCTCAGGAAATGTACAACCATGGTGACAGGTGAAGAGGAAGCAAGGCACCTTCTTCACAAGGCAGCAGGAGGAAGAAGTGCCGAGCAAAGCGGGAAAGAGTCCCTTATAAAACCATCAGATCTCGTGAGAACTCACTGTCACAAAAACAGCATGGGGACACTGCCACCATTATTCTATTACCTCTACCTGGTCTCTCCCTTGACATGTGGGAATTATGGGGATTACAATTCAAGATGAGATTTGGGTGGAAATACAAAGCCTAACCATATCAGGGACCATGGCTTTTAGATCAGTAAAATGTTGCTTGCGACAAATTCCCACAATCTCATTTTTTTGTTCCTTTTATAGTATTTGATTACTAATTTTTTTCCTAAGTTTTACCAAAATAATGCCAAAGGGGATGGAAAGGCAGCCTGGCAGAGGCGAGAGCAACCAGGAGGGTGTACAGGTGGGGTGGCAACCTGATGATGACACCAGATTTGATACATACAGGGAATTAAGCAGAAAAGTAAATCCATTGAGGCTGATGGGAGCCAGTATTTCTCACTATTGGAGGAAGGAGATACAAACTTGGAAAAGAAGGTGAAGCCAAACACTTTGAAATTGGAATAGAATTAGTATTTTTTGTTCCATCAACTTTACATAATCTCTTGATGTGTAAGGATATTGGTGCCTGTAACTAGGTTACCCCCAACCAGTCCACTAGCCTTCTCCCTCTAGCCTCTGTGAGCTCTTCCACTTTTAGATAATCATTATTGATAACCATTGTTAAGTCTTCTTCTTACATAAATATTACACACCAAAGGGCCTATTAGATTCTGGGATTACATTTTATCTTGTTTGTTCAGTGCGCTGATTCCCAGTCACTCAAAGAGTGTCCCTAAGGTCTATATCAAGTATATTCTTTCTTTACCAATTTACCAGTTACTCACAATTATGCCTCATTTTAGTTTGCTTCATAACTCTCTTCTGTACAGCTTTTGATTCCCTCCCCCCAACCCCGTGGTTTCTAATTCTTTATTTCTTCGCTGCTGTTTAATGTCAGAATTTGTTCTCTTCTTCTCTTTGAAGACATTTCTCAGAGCCTATCAACTTCTTATTTTAATTCAGATCAGTCACCTCCTGAACAAACAGTTGTTATCCAGGAATTTTTAAAAAATGTATATATTTCTATGTGTTCAATCATACCTTTTCATTCGCAGTTTGCTCAGGTAACTTCCTTAGAAATTATATATATATATATATATATAATGCATGTAAATAAAAATATGGAAGTGGACACTTTGATCCTTGAATCACTGAAAATACCTAATTTTGCCTTCATACTCACTTAGTAGTTTGATTGACTATAGGATCCCAGGTTCAAAGTCATTTCTCCTCAGAGCACTGAAGACCTTATGACTTCTTGATTGTAAAAATTCCAAAGGCTGAGGTCGTTCAATGTCCATTCCTTTATAGGCAGCCTGTTCTTTATCTCTGGATATTTTAGGGGTCTTCTTTTCATATTTGGGGTCTGAAATGTGATGAAGTCATGTCTGGAAGTGGGTTGTTTCTTATTCATCCTCCTCAGCTTTCTGTGGACCATTTAAGTCTGATGACTCACATCACCTCAGCTCTAAGAACTGTTTCGTTGATATTCTTTCCTCTATTTTTACATTTTATTCTTCTGGAAAACCTATGAATCCAGTGTTAGATCTGGAAGATTGATCATTTTTTTGTCAAAGAACAAGATTTTAATTATCCAACACTACTAAGAAATGACGCTAAATATAATTCAAAACTATGCCTAGAGAAATACTGATGTTCATGAACCAGGAAAGATGGCAGGAGTGTGCTGTGTAGCTGTGGCTCTGCGCAGCCGCCAGCAGACCTGTGACCAGCACATGCAGCATCATTCCTGATGTGCAGAGCCACCGCCCTGAGCTTAAATAGTCCATTTGGTATATTGCTGCTATTCAAATGGCAATTTCCCCTTTTATACACATAACAACAACAAACCCAGTTACTCTGTGACTTGAATTGTTTCCCTTTGCAGTTGAAACTTTCCTTGCCTGTCTTGAGCAGGTTCAAGAAAGCATTTTGTCACATTGGTTTCAGGGCATCTTCCATTTTGGAACTTTCTTGCTGAGGTATAAGCGGGTGTTACTCAAAAACTTGGAATGTTTACTTTTTTGCAGTCAAGGTCAAGCACTGAACTTTAGCATTTGCCAATTGCTTTGCAAGAGACTCAACTCAGTTTTTTTCTGAATACTCCCTAGCGATCTTTCATTTCCACAATATTTTTAATTTTCCAGACCTCTTTTGTTCTCTATTCCTGTTTCATAACTAAGTGTTCTTTTATGGATGCAACTTCTTCTCATTGATCTGACGATAATCGTTTAAACTTTCATTTCTTAAAAAAAATAAATCTTGTGTTCTCTGAATTGCCCATAATGTCAGCTGTTTGTCTTTCATGTATTCATGGGGTTCCTTCCAATGCCTTCTGATCCATGGCCATTCATTTGTACATAAGAATGCAAAAATGGCTTTCATGTTGTTGGTAGCTAGTGCTAAGCTACTTACCTCTGCTGTTCTATATCTTGGTTTCCCAGGAAACACAGGTTTCTGTGTTTGCTTTAAACCTGGCGGGGGGCGGGGAAGAGTATAAGAGTGCACTGTCAGCAAGAATGTACATCATTTGCACCCTTCAAGTGCAAAAATTCCCCTATTTTGCTACACCCTGCTGTTTTCAGTCTATATTTATGCAGTCACTTTTTTTTCTGTGTAAAAGAGGCTCGGGCAGTCTAAGAATGTGCAGAAAGATGAGCTGCCTGGCCCAAGCCTGTACTACCCTGCATCCTTCCTGAGGTGTGTGTTCTCTCCTGATGATGTTTCCCCTGCCTTTCCTCGATATAACCATCACCTCGACTTTTATGATAGTTGTTTTCTTGCTATCATGTATAATTTTACCACCTTCATATTCATCCCTAAGCAAAAGAGTATAGTTTTGCCTGTTTTTGTAATTGATATATTGATATCTATTTTTGAAACTTATATATATATATGGGACTCATCCAGTATATCCTATGCTGCTAGCACCAAGAAAATTAAGCTACTCTATAGAAGTTGATTAAATAAATAAGCAAATGGAAACAAAAAATGACTGAACGAATGAGTCCTGGTTTGATTTGACCTCACCCTTGCACGTAAGTGTAGAATTCTCCAGATGACCCCAGAATGAATACAGAATGGACTAGGAGTTTTTGGATTGACATAAGTCTGTCTCCACCCTGCAGATCAGCATCACCTACAATGCACAACCTACTAGGTCTAGAGGAATGTTAGCCCAGCAGTGTCAGACGTGGGCTGGAAATGCTCCATGGCCCCCATGTTGCAGGTGGTGGGACCTCCCTCCCATCTGCAGCTCCCTGCAGATGTCGTACTTGGCCTTATTCCAGGGGGTTGGCTGCTCTCCAGGAGGTTCCCAGCTATCACACAACAAGTCAGATTTCTCTATTGTTTTGTTCGTAATTCTGAATTCTGCCACAGAATTCACATCCTGGGTAAGCCGAATAGTATAATTTTCCATCTGCACAACATTCTTCTTTATTTTGTTAGTGGGTTATTAAAAGATACGCTTGCCAGGGAAGGGCTTTGCTTACATAGTAATTTCATGTTATCTTCCTTATAAATTCTATGCAATTCTCTGTGTCTTTTCAAAAGCTGATGATGATTCCTTACTGTTATCTTCAACAAGTTGGTGAAACCTCCCGGTCTTAGGTCACTAAGAAATTCTTGTTAGTTAGATAACAAAAAGCTCCTTCCCTTGTTTTGTTTTGTTTTGCTTTGAGTTGAGATATATGTGGCCTGTAGAAGCAAATACATCTAGATAATGCTTTCCTCCTCTTGTCTTTTTGCCTAATGATAGTATACTTTATATAATGGTTTTAACACATTGTTTTTAAAATATTTCCCAGAGATTACACATAACACTAAATAAAAGATGCCATTCTTTTCATGATTGCATAGGAATCCATTGTATTTATACACCACAATTTAATTTTTATACTTGTGTCATTATTGACAGAATGTAGATTCAGAAATTACATAATACATTTAGTGATAGGCACAGAAGTGGCCTCCCAAAGATGTCCAATCGTAACCCCCAGAATGTCTGGACAGGTTACATTACATGGCAAAGAGGAATCAAGGCAGCAGATGAAATTAAAGTTACTAATGAGCTGACTTTAGGATAGGGAGACTATCCTGGATCATGTTGGTAGCTCAGTATAATCACAAGGGTCCATAAATGTTGAAGAGGTAGGCAGAAGGGTTGGTTTCAGTGTCAGAGGGACGTAATATGAGAAAGTCTCAACCAGTCATTTCTGGGCAGTGAAGTTGGACAAGGTAAGCAATTCAGGGAGCCTCTGGAAACTGGCAAAGTCAAGAAAACGAATTCTCCCACCCCAGAGTCTCCAGGAAGGAATGCAGCCCTGCAGATACCTTGATGTTAGCACAGCGAGAACCACTTTGGACTTTGTTTGTTTATAGTTGCATCTTTTTATCTTTTAAAATAAATTTTTTAAATTGACAAATAATAACCGTACATATTAATGAGGTACATGGTGATATTTCAATACACATAATGTATAGCAATC